CACACACACACACACACACACACACACACACACACACACACACACACACACTTTCATTTCCTAAAACTCAAATCAATATTTCTGATTGTTTTGAAACTTCAAAGCTCAGGAAGTGTCTGAAGCCTGCTTTTATTTTGAAAAATGTTGGAGTTGTTACCTTTTGAGTCAAATCGTGAAAATAACTTTAGAAACAATCACACAGGATATTTTTTAATCTTTTAGAGGACGTGTCAGGGATGGTTTTGTGTTTGAATCATGCTAACACCAAAAGGTAAGGAGTCGACCACTACAAATACATTTTTACAAGTTTATAATTTAAAAACAATGACTTGAAAAACAAAATGCATAAGTAAAAACAAACAAAAAATGAAAACATAAACAGATCGCTTCTTGATTGTATTTTTTGTGCTTCATAAACCGTGTTTCCATCAAGGCTTTTTGATGCGCATTTAGAAGTGTCGCATTAAAAATGCGAAGAAAGTCGGATGGAAACAGCAAAATTTGAAAAAAAATCCTCAATTCGCTAAACGGTTTTTACGCTCGCTTGAGGTGGTTTTTGGATGATTCGCAAAGTAGTTAATGTGCAAAACGGGAGATGGAAACACGTTTTCTGAATAAATTCTGACGTAGCGCATATTTACCTCATGTGACGTTCAGCTGTTTCCGCTTTCCTGCCTCGTCCCGGATGTTATCATAAACGCATTTATGCTGCGTAGTTTAACACTGCGTTTATTTCCCTACGTCTCCTGGCAGCGTTAAACATAGCCTGTACTCGCTGAATAGATAGAATAATTACAACTTGCCCAATAGCAAGGTGTTCACGAAAAAATCGCTCAATTGTCCCGAGATGATTAGCCTCTGCTAGTTAGCAAGTTTCACTTCCTGTTTACTACTGCAAAGCTTGTCGCCGACATCTGACGTAATCACGCTTTGCGTAGCCTCGTTTATTCACATCAAACAGTCGAGAGGGAAACTAGAGGGAAACAGTCTAGATTCAAATTTTTATTTAATGTTTTGCGAATTTTGAAAAGTTCGATAAAAATTCACTCAACAACTGGATGGAAACACGATTATAGTTTTGTGTATTTTTTATTCTATAGGTTTATGAGTAGTCAGTATCTTACCTGCAAAAAACAGTGGGGTAATTCACTATCTTCTGCAGGTAAGATACTGACTGCTCAAACATATTCCACATGACCTTTTACTATTAAAAAATGGAGAAAATATAATTTGGTAAGATTTTTTTAAAATATATATTAGTCTTTTTTTGCACATTTTTAAAATACAAACTGAAACAAATGAAAATTTAATTTACTTGACCTTTTGTGTTTGTAAAAACAGTCTTCTTGGAAGTTCGTTAGTTGTAAAATAAATACATTTTACAAGTTTGCTTTAAATCCATTAAAGCGGTTTTAAGTGAAAGGTTGCATTTATTAAATGTGAAATATTTTCTTACACAAATATTATATAATATTAATGGAATTACTGCTTGAATGTAATAATTTAAATATATATTTTCAAAACAATGTATTTATATTCAGACTAATTGATATAATAATTTAAATGTATTTAATTTCTTCACATTCATTTCTATGATTCTGTTGCGTTCAGGGCCACAGTGAACCCTGTTGTTTATTGTTGTTGTTTTATTGTTTTGCCAGCATCACATCATCAGTGAGGGAAGTCTCCACGAGCTCCAACTGTGTCAGGAACACGTCATCCTGAGATGAGTGTGTGAAGTGTGTGTTACAGTGTTGTTGTTTTATTTCTCATTAGAAATAAAGAAAACGCGCAGCGCGCGCGCCTTGTTTCTTTAAGAGTTTCTCTCCTCCGCTGGCAGCTGCTCTCTCCCTCAGTGCAGATCCATTACTCCTCCTCTCCTCCTCCTCTCCTCCTCCTATGGGTACAATGGGCATTTATCATCCCCCCTCCCTCCCTCCCGGTGCGTGTGTAGCCTATGTGTTTATTCAAAGCTCAGTACCAGGAGCGGAGCGGCCCCACTCCGGAGCCTCTCTCTCGGTGACACGGACGCACCGGCGCTCATTGTCGGAGGAGCCCCAGAAAAAGGGGCCTCCGCGCCGCCGGGCGGAGAAGGAGGAGCGGCAGCATCAGCGGGAGGAGGAGGAGCAGGAGGCAGAGGCGGTAAGACCCTCCGCTCGCACCCCGTCCTCCCTGCATCCAGCCCCGGGGAGCATCCAGCCTCTCCGCCTCCTCCAGCCGGAGGAGCCTCCGCTCCTCTCCTCTGGAACTCAGGAGGAGCTTCAGGCGAACCTGCAGGACGTAAAATCTGTTTGCAGGTTTGGGAAAAGACGCAGCTTTTTTTTCCCCCGGATTTTTTATTTTTTCAGGAGGAGGAGGAGGAGGAGGAGGCTGATGGAGGAGACAGATGCGTCCTAACAGGTGCAGATCTGAGGACATGGCGCTGAGGAGTTTGGGATCCCTCCGTTTATCCATCAGGTGATCTTTTTTTTTTTTTTTTTGTGCACTTTTCCCGCAGATTCTGGATTTGGATGAGTGCACCTTCACTTTGAGCCGAACTCTGACTCACTTTAAAAAAACACATCATTTCCCCTTTGATGAAGTTTCATTTTGGCTGATTTTTATTTATTTATTTTAATTTACTGAAGGGTTTTTTTGAGCTCTAGCTGCTGATTGTCCAAACGCAATTCTTGTGAAATCTCAAATCCAAGCCGAGAATTGTGCCTGGACATCTGTTGCTGGATGTTCCTGCTCCTCAAAAGTTGATTTATAAATATATTTTTTTATTATTATAATTATTTGTGGAGCAGAAGAATCATTTTCCTGCTCGAGGCTCAACACAAACGCATCATTTCCCTCGTTTCTTTTTGGAGTTTGAATCCCTCCTGATTGAAGAGTTTTCTATTCTAGGCCTTTAGAGGGCCACTTTTTAATATTTCCTTACATAAAAATGAATTTATTTCTCATTTTTTGGCTCCTTTGAGCTCCTCAGGTTTGGAGGAGAAGCCTGCAGGAGGAAGAAACTGAAACTAATGAAGTATTTTTACAAGCTGGGACGTTTTTTTTTTCTGACTCTGTGGAGTGAAAGTAACATTTCTCCTGCAGCTTATCTCCTTCTTCACACTTTTTCCTGCAGATTGAAGGTTTTATTGTCGCTCCACTGGTGAGCTTTTGTTGCCGTCTTTTGTTGGCGTTTTGGGGGGATTATAATTTGCATAATTCTCCAGGAATGTATCATTTTAATTTTGTTTAACAAACCGTGACCTTTTCCAAGCCCTTTATCCTTTTGATAAAAGGCGCCATTACAAGCCAATAAAGACGGAATTCGTTTGTTCAGATTCTGTTTTTTTAATGAATAATAAAGAATTAACACCAAATGGAAAAATCTCCTTTTGTTGCATGTTTTTTTTTTATTCTTTGATTTGTGTTTTCTGCTTTATTTCCTGTTCTTCTTTCCATGCATTTTGCAGATCTCACTTATTTTGATTTATTTGTTGCAGATGTATGAGTTTCAATTTGGGGGGAAATCGGATGAGGAA